TTTTTTTTTTTGAGATGGAATTTTGCTGTTGTCGCCCAGGCTGGAGTGAGTGCAATGGCACGATCTCGGCTCACTGCAACCTGCACCTCCCAGGTTCAAGCAATTCTCCAGCCTCAGCCTCCCAAGTAGCTGGGACTACAGGCACTCGCCAGCACGCCCGGTTAATTTTTGTATTTTTAGTAGAGACGGGGTTTCACCGCATTGGTCAGGCTGGTCTCAAACTCCTGACCTTGGGGTGATCCGCCTGCCTCGGCCTCCCAAAAGTGCTGGGATTACAGGCGTGAGCCGCCGCGCCTGCCCGGCCTGGAAATCTTATCTAAAAAGTAGCAAGTGCTGGAAAAAGGGCCTGGGGGGCAGGGGTGGTTCTTGTCACAGTCCCCAGGCTCCTGTCTCAGGGATGAATGTGGCTCTCGCTGTCTCATCCGGATTCTTCTCTTGCCCGAAAGGGCTGCTTTTGGGGACTATCAATACTGGGGAGTGGGGGTGACGCCGGACCTCGCTCAGGGTGAGGATTTCGGGGCCCCGGTGTCCTGAACACCCCCCCACATCCCAACATTCTCCTCGCTCTGTCCCTTCCTCTTCTCCCAACGCCTTTTGTGCCGGGTCCGCAAGCTCCCCGAGTTGTGGGCACCTAAATCGAAGCTGAGAAGGGAGGCTGCCCCCCACAACCTGTGGGTCAGTGCCCCTCCCCCAGGCTAGAAGAAAGTGGGGTCACCGCAGCTGAGGGGTTATTTTGACTGGAGCTGCTGGAGCAGAAAGGCTGGGTCTGAAATCCGCGGCAGGGTCTGGGGACCTTGCTGGACCCGCGTGGTGTTGGGTGGTGATGGGCGGGGCTATCATCTTGAGGTGGGGATTAACTCAGCTATTCCCAGGGTAAGCCTGGGTCTCTAATTGGGCCCTGGGAGCCCTGTTAGGCCACTGGCATGGGGGGTCGGTGACGAAGGGGACTCCCCAACTCCCCCCGCTCCTAACCACCCTTCCGCCATTGCCTTGGAGACCCCCCGGGGAGGGGGCTGGGGGCTTCTGAGCCCCTGAGTCTGGGTTCACTTTCCCATCGGGCTGTGGGAGGGGGCTGTCACTTTCCTGTGTCTTTGGGGAGGGGTCCGCACTTCCTTCTCGGATCTCAGGGCCGTGGACACACACCCCCTTTCCAGGAGGGGGTGGTGGGTATCTAGGTTCTCCCTGCCCCTTCCTGGGGCCGGCACCGTAGCAGCACAATCACCCTGGGAAGGGGGTGTCTTTTCGCCTCCAGACACAATCGGGCCCCATTTGCAGGACCACCTGAACTCTGTGCCCCCCGGCCTCCAGGGCTCCTCCCCGGGACCCCCGTCCCACGCCTGGGCCCCGCGCTGGGAGAAGCACCTGCTGCCTATCTCTGTCTACCTCAGGTCTGACTTTTGATGCCAAAATCTGAGCCCCTGGGGTGCCTCTCCCCCACCTCCCGTGCACCAAGGTCTGCAGCAGCCACTGAGGCTGGCTGCCGGCTGCATCTGGCGGCCCGTGCACCTGCCCGCCTCGGAGGCTGGGGAG